TTTTACTGTGCTAATTTTATTGAACAATTTATTAAATGAGGTAGCTGCAATCCAAATATAATTAATCATCGACTGGATCCCCTGGATCCCCTGATAGAGCGTCATGGAATTCCATTTCACTACCATCCGACTGTTGGGACGAGTCGAGCTGCTTTGGTTCCTGTTCGTCTTTATCTTGAACCGTTAGTTTTGTAGCCTCATTTGTTATTTCGCGAATCAATAGTCCCTCTTCCTTTACTCTATATTGCACATCCAGTTTCTCAGTCTCATATTCTTCTTTCAGTGAATTATCTATAATTAGCTCAATTTGCTGTCCTTTCTTAATCTCTTGTATTGCCGTTTCTTTTTCATTTGGTTCCTTCTTGGGAATCTCTTGAATTTTATCTATTATTTCTTCTATTATTAAGCCCTTCCTTTTTGGCTCGTCTTGGATTTCCTCCAGTTTCTCAGTCCTGTATTTCAACCCATCAATTTGCTTTGCATTGTCTTTCATCGAATTGTCTTTAGTTAGCTCAATTATTTTCCCTTTTGTTTCCGTCTCGTTCTTCTCAATTTTCTTTTTAGGAACCTCTTGAATTTTATCTATTATTTCTTCTATTATTAAGCCCTTCCTTTGTGGCTCGTCTTGGATTTCCTCCAGCTTTGCCTTTGCCTTTTCATTTGATTGCACTGTTCGTTCGTCTTGCATCTCTTCTATTTGTTTTCTAGTCTCATAATCTCCCATTTCATCAAAGTCCTTCTTGACTTCCTCTGGCTCCTCTGGAAACTCGTCCACGTCGTCGCCAGCTCCGCCTGGCGTCTTCTTATATCTCAATTGCATATTTTTGGCATTGATAGCCTGATAGTTGATGCAAGGTCGCAGACCCGCCGACTTGAACAGCTCCTTAGCCGTCGCCTCGAACTTTTTGATGTGCTCGGTGCGCTCGACAGTCAACAGTTTCGTCTCGAGCACAAACAGCGATTGTTCACGCAGTGCCCCAAAGAACTCTTTGCTCAGGAAAGTGTAATAGTTGTAGGCAAAGAAGGCGACATCGAAGTGGTTCTGCCAACGGGGTGCACCCCTCTGCAGCTCCCTTATCTCCATGGGCGAGATGAAGTGCACTTCGACATCGGGCACTGGCAACCAGGGCTTGTCATAGCTCAGCTGCCCCTCGTTGGCGTCGCATTCGTTGTGGGTGAGCAGCGGCGTCATCAGCAGCTTCGTTGAGCCATAGCGCCTCGAGATGTCTTTGTCATGCTCGTAGACTGTTTGCGTTTGCAGCTCGTGAAAGAACTCGAGCAGATTGCGCTCGGTTATGTCTGTGGCTCGATAGTCGTTGTCGCCATGCACCGAGTTGTGCAGCCGCTCCTCCGAGCTGCGCAGTCCAAAGCCGCAAAACGGACCCGTCTGTATGTCACCCACGTAGCCACGATGCAGAAAGGTGCGTCCATTGCGCACCAGTCCCGCTGCCAGCGTCTTGTTCGGCTTGCAGTGCTCGTACTCGGGAAAGACGAAGGCCACGCCCGATTCCCGCCAATAGCGGTACTCCTGCGAGCATATCTGCTGCCCCTCGCGACTCTTCAGCGTCATGCTCAGGTCCCAGTCGAAGGCGCCCTCACGATGATCGTAGCGCGGCCCCAGCAGAGCGCGCACGCGCTGCTCCCAGTAGCGTTGTATATCGTAGACCTGCTGCTGCGGCTGCCAGTAGCTGAAGGCCATCTCGAGGCCATCGCGCTCCTTGTACTTGAGTGATTCGATATTGAGCATCGGAGCGAGGCGCTGCAGCTGCTCCTCATCGCAGATCATGTTGAGCAAGGTGCGCGCCTTGGCGGCCACATAATGATGTGAGCTGGGACGTAGCAACGAATTGCCATAGATGTCCATGAAGAGATGCGCCTTGCACACCAGGCTGAACGACTCGGCTGGCTCCAGAGCCAGGCCCAATAGCAGCATATTCCTGGCTATAATCTCCACGCAGGCATCCAGCATATAGATCCTCAACTTTGGCTTACCCGCATGGGTATATCGTTTGGCCAGCGTTTTGATCACATGCCTAGGATCGGCGCCACCGCAGATGAGTATATTGAGAGCCTTAGGCTGTTGCTCTGCTGCCTCGGCCTCCGGCTCATCCTTGAGCTTAAAGGCCTTCAAGTATTCCTCGTACAGATCCAAAGCACTGCTCAGACCCCAAAACATTATGCTTTCACTATTTAAAGGCAACTAAAACGAGTTTCGATTGCTATTGCTGCTGCTGCTGCTGCTTTTGCTATTTGTTCGATTGACAGCAGTTGCCTGGACAACTGGACTGAATGACTGCCTGACTGCCTGCCTGCTTGACTAGCTAGCTAGCTGGCTGGCTGGTTGGCTAGAGTTGTTCTATTAGCTATTGAGACGTTGCCCGGGCAACAACGTCTCTTGGCCTGCTTTGCATAAACACCCGCTGTTACTTCATTGTTATGTGGGATTAGGTAGAGCAGAGCGGAAATTGCTTTCTGATATCTCAGTGTGCAGCAGGATGCGCATCGTAATGCATTTTTTAGCATTCACATGGATGCTTTTAGCTGATTGCCAGCGCGCGTATTCAAGCAAAATACATAACTGAAATGTGAGCTCCTCGGGCGTAGCTACTTATTAAAATGATAAACAATATTGAATGCAATTCCCGAGCAAGGGACCAGCTTGCTCATGAAACTGATGTCAGCTATCAATGTGCTTTCATTCAGTTTTTCTTTTGTTTTCACAGCAGCTTTTAATGCATTTAATGCATGGGGGAAATTGAATTTCAGGAAAATCATGCATGAGCAGAGGAAGAAAAAGTTCAAGCAGCAACTGCTTAAAATCTGTCCTCTCTTTGCCTCTCTCTCTCTCGCTCCCTCTCTCTCTCTCACACACACACTCCCTGTCTTTTTCTTTGGGCTGGGCAAGTGGCTTATTTTATCTCCATTCGCATTTGGCTTGTGCGTAAGCTGGACAGTTTCATTCCTCAGCTCAGCTCGATTCAACTTTCCAAGTCTCTGGCAAAAGCCCACAAAACTACAGAACAGAAAACTTGCTAATACATACTTATTGTTGTGCCAAAAGTCCTGACAAAAGCGCACAGATTGCAAACTTTTTGGCAGCTGGTCGCCTTAATTGCGTGTGTGTGTGTGTGTGTGTGTGTGTGTGTGTGTGTGTGTGTGTGTCAGCCTTCATCTCCTGCCGCTCCTCATCATCATACGCTGCGTATGGGTGATGTATGCCTTTGGCCTGTCATACGCTGCGTATGCGTGCTGCAATTACGTCGAGCTCGAGAGTCGCTCGTGCATCTAATGCGCCGTCTAAGCACAAAATATTCCGAAAGTGATGAGAATTTGTTAAAGCTGGCAGCAAATTCTGATTCATCAAGCTCACAGTTTGCCGTTTCCTTTGCTGTTGTGGTTAGATTGCTGCTGCTCCTGCTGCTCCTGCTGCTTTTGTTGGTGGTGCTCCTCAATTAGTCAGTGTAATGGCAGCTGCTGGTACACAGTCATGCACTTCATTTGACTGCGGTTCAATAAATACGAGCACAAAGCCGCACTGAATTCCATTCGAGCGGCGCACAATTCATCACAGCATCAGTTTTCAATGAGTTTCGGTCGACAGGCTCTCAGTCCGTGTGGTTGGCCGCTGGCTGAAACAAAAGTAATTAGAAGCCCTCGGGCTAAAGCGAAAACGGCTAAAAAGAATTCCACACAATAGCCGCTTCACAACAAAAAAAAAAATTAAGCAAAACAAAACAAAAGCCAAAAAAAAGGTTAGTTAAGCCTTGCCACGATTTTTTTCTATATGCCAGAGGAAACGCAGCTGAGCTTAGATAAAGCTGTGTGAGGGTGGACTATACGAGTTTATATACATATGTATCATTGTTTAGCAGGGCAAAAATAATATAGAATTTTCTGATATTATGCAGAAAAGTTTTATTATAAATAATTGCGATGAATTTATTTCATAGACAAAATTGAGAATATAAAGCTAGTTTAACTTATTACTCTTAGGTTTTAGTTGTCTTCGTGAGGGATATCTTGTTAGATTTGCTATAAAACTATTGCACATATATTTTAATAATAAAATATAAAGAACTCCAATTAGTTGTTTTCAGGCTTTAAGCCGAACTTAAAGCCTTTGAGACGCTCTTTAGCGACATTCATGTCTGTCATATACATAAGCAGTTGCAGGCATTATTATGTATGTATGTATGTATATATGTATATGTATTCATATAGTTCAAAGAATAACATAAAAATCGAAATATGTGACTGTGTTTCGGTCAAACAAAAGTTTAAATAACAATCGATGGAAAGAGCATATAACAGCGGGTGTGTTCATATATTAATATGTATGTGTGTGTGTGTGCAAAGCATAAAGATTTGTTTTACTCTTTTTGTATTGAGACCGAAAATGGGTTCATGTTTCCTCTGCTCAATGTCAACCGCACACAAACAACACACACACACACACACACACACACACACACCCACACGGAGACACCGATACACACACAATGGCTTAACCCACATATACAATTTTGGGTCTCAGGTTGCTTGTATTATGCCTCGTCTGCTTCTGCTCTCTCTCCCTCTGGCCAACTACCCATCTCGCTCTAGTGCTTTCGTCTCTGTCGCGCTGACTGTTATCAACTGCTTTCATTGTCAATGTTTTGCGCAAACTTTTCTCATTAGACAGTGCAAACAAAATGGCTGAGTCTGCGGCTCAGTTGGCCCGCTTTGTTAGCCATTTGACATGCAGCAAGGCCAACAACAACAACACGGTGTCATAATGTGTAATAAAAATGTTGCCGTTGCCGAGGCACAGCAGCCTGCCACCGCAGCAGCAGCAGCAGCTGAGCCATCATTAATTGCTGTCGATCAAAGTGGCAAATGAATCGAATCTGTATGCTTGCTACTCACCTGCATAAATTAACTGTAAATTACCTATAAGCCATTGCCATGGTGATCATTAGCAACACGTTTCGCCTGCATCATTAATAAAAGACAATTTCTTGTTGCTGTTTTGCAGTAAAGTTTAATTTAATTCTTGTAATAGACATAGACAGTGTGTGTTCTCTATTTAGACTCGGCTTCGGCCTATATGCCACAAGCCCGAAATATTCGGAGTGTTTGCTCTAAATACTACAAATTGGGGGTTTTTTTTTTCATTGTTTTTAATTTTTTTAAATTTATTTGTATTTTTATTATTTTTTTGTTCTAGGCAAAGAACATCTGATTGTCAGATAGTTATTGAAGTTGATCTAAGATGCGTGCGGAAATGATAGAAAATAGGTGCGCTTAGAACAGAGTCGATGCTTAAACTAAATACACACACAATTAACATGGATATGTGTTAAAGAATTATATATATATATGTATATATATTCTGTTTATATATATATAGTTTAATATTTACAATGCTGAAACTGAAACTGCAACGGAAATCAAGTGTGCTCTTTGATTAAGTTGTTTATAAATTTCTAGTTTGCTTAAGATTCAGCATTTGTTGTGGCCTTACTTTGTGACAAACTGTTGGATTTCGCTTTAGGTTTCTTGTTTATCTTCCTTTGTTTTGTTTGTTAAGCATAGTTACGCTTTTAACCCCTTATTGAAGTTTTTTCTGGTTTTTGTTTTTTTTGTCCTCTATATAATCTACATGCTATATATGTCTAGCAACATTTAGTTGTTAGTTTCAAGTACATAAAACGTTCTACAACATTAAAATTTCAAAATTTGTTCACTTAGCAAGCTAAATTCTATATAAAGTCTGAGACGGTGGTTTTTTGCAATTAGAGACTACAATTTTTAGAAAGGGTTTTCTTTTTCTAAGCACGAAACTAAATGTGAGTTTTACTCGAGTATATAGAAATATGGAACTGAACTCGAAATGAAACAAGTGAATTATAAAGTTAAGTAAGGTAAGGTATTTAGATATTTATCAAAGGGAGATCACTTGAGTTTTTGGGGCTTAGTATGTGAGTGTAGGAGTGTATGGTTGTATTGTTGTATGGGTGTATGTGTGTGTGTCGAAGCCAATTGCTCAATTATTGCTTAACATTTAAAACATTTACTTAGATCACTAGTGTAATTAACGTTTATGCATTAGCCAAGTGCGGGTCTTAGGCCTTATCCTTTGTGGTATCCTCCTCCTCCTGTAGCGAAATGATCTGGCATGGCGAAATAAAATATGGCATATATAATATATGATGGTAATTTATGGAAAATATGTTTAAAAGAGACTAATTTGGATGATATAGCTAGAATTTTTCGTTTGCTATTTATTGCGCTACAAAAGTTGTGTTTTTTTTTTCTTCGTATAACTAAGAGAAAATAAATAGTTGGAGTTGCAGGTGAACAAAAATAAAAAAGAGCGAAAATTATATCAAATGTGTTTGCAAATCAAATTGCTAAAGCATCTCTAAGAGATCTATGATAAATTAGTGATATTTATTATACATATATGCTATCGGGTATATAGGCTATATGACAGCGGTTGCTACTTACTTGAGCCAGTTCGCAGCTTTACTTGCAGACAGAGAGAGAAGTTTTTTTTTTTTTCTGGGGTTTAAGGTGGCCAACAACTAAGTGTACAATCTAAGCTATATATCTTCATTTAGTGTTTATTGCCTATTATAGATTTGTAGTTTTTTATAATTTGTATTTATTTATTTTATAAATCTGATGTAGAGCTCTCAAAAATATTTCAGCATTTGCAGTGAGGTATGCTTGTATCTTTGAAAGGTAATGCGGATTGCGAGTCTAACCCAGTTTAGATAAGTTTATAAACGTGTTTGTTTGTTTGTTTGCTTGTGGGTGTGTGTGTGTGTATTTGTTCTATTAGACTAAAAGAACTCGTCGAAATCGTCTAGAAAGTACAAATTTGATCAATTAAGCACGTCATAAAGATAAAAGTTGGGAAACATTTTGGCGACTAGAATCGGAGGGGAAGGACACGAATCGGGTTCGGGCTCGGTGCGCGCACAGTTTAGTTGAGACAGTGACAGGGAGAGAGCGAGACAGAGCATGCCAAATAGCACAGAGACAAAAGAGAGGCAAAGAGAAAGGTTTCTTGTTGTTCTATGCTGTCCGAGCTGTTATTACTGGAAATGTTGTTTTAGCCAAGTGATAAATGGTAATTGATAAATATTTTGTTATTTGATTATTTATCATACGCAGGCGTTGCTGTGTTGTTGTTGTAGTAGTTGTAGTTGTTGCAGTTATTGTTGTTGTTGTTTTCTTTACTGCTGTGATGCATGCTGCAGTGAGCTGCGGGAACTGGTTTTCAAACTGGTGGTTGCTGATGTTGGTTGTGGTTGGGTGGTTGTGGTTGGCAGTTGGCATTTTTGTTTGAAAATGAAAGAATAGCATTTCATTTTATTTGGGTGGTTCTAGCTATTGCCAAAAAAGTGAGGCACACACACGCACGCACACACACACAGAGAGAGAGAGCGAGAGATAGAAAGAACCAACGAGTTGAGTTGCAAAGGCAACTTAATTTAACAAAACTTGAATAAACTGTCAAATTTATATATATACACATCGAGAGTTAGAAAGAGAGAGAACGAGAAAGTGTGTGTCTCTGTGTGTGTGTGTGTGTGAAGTGAGTGAACGAGTAAGAGAAAGGAACGGGCATAAAACTTTCGATTGGAATCAATATATATATATGTATATATGATGAGCTTAAGTAAGTCAGTTATAAATATAGCATATAGTAGTAACATTTACATATGATACAAAAACTTTTCAATTTATATTTGATTTGCTTTTCTTTTTGCTCTGATTGCTTTTTTTTCCAGGTTTGATGACGGAGCTTAGACGTACGAAAGTAAGCAACAAAACATGCCTGAAGTATATGTGGCTGTATGTGTGTGTGTGTGTGTGGAAAGCTGAATTGATGAATTGTTAAACTGTGGAAACGCAGCGCTTACCTCGGCACAGATTTTAGCGAAGTTTTCACATTTGGACTATTCGACGGGTGGAATTGCAATTGCAAGTGCAATTTATTGATTGCCTTTAATTCAATTAAATGACGCGATTAAATTGATTAAAAACGTTGCTGGGCAACATGTGGCATATGCCACACACACACGCACACTCTCGCTATCACACTCCCTCACACGCACACACCATTTACGTTTTGTATCATTTTTATCGAGTTAATCGTGCTGAAATTCTGTTGATGGCAATTTATGGCGTTCGTGCGTGTGCATGTGTGTGAAATCGAATATATATACATATATATATATATTTGCAATATGTATATATAGTACGCTTTAAAACGTAACTCATGTGTAATTTAAACACCGGAAAAGCGAATAACATTTCCTGTCGACTAAATGGTTTAATTTGTTAAATACTTACCTTTCAATTTGGATTGTCTTTTCTTTGTTTATGCTCAAAATGCACATAATTTGTTTATATTTGAAAGAAATCTACGCAAACAATACTACATGTTAAAAATAAACTAGCTACGCATAGTTACCCTGCAGGAAATGCTGAAAAAATAAAATTATATATCTCATATGTACAGAAATCGTAGATTAAACAAAACTTTTGGAGCTTATTTAAAAAAAAGCTGTAGCCATCGAAGCCTTCATCTCATTTATCTAAATATTTATTGAATTTATAAATTCTAATATAATTTTTCTTTTATCTTTTCAGATCTATGCTGTAAACCTGCCCGAGTTCGAAAACGCAGTATAGCCTCTAAGCCGCCAGGAAAATAACCATAAATAGTTTAAAACAAAAACAACAAAAAATAGTTTTTTAAGAATTAAATATATATTTGTTTGTAAAAACTATAAATAAATTAAATAGTTGTAATTAATAACAAATTTGTTAGTGTTAAGAGTTTAAAATAAATTATATTAAAAACTAAACAAAACCGGTTTTTTCTTTACTTGAGTAGGGTGAAATTTAAAAATTTAACGGTCACAATGTTCCTAGACCGTTGGATATGCAAATTTAAACGAAAATTCTGCTGAAATACCAGGCGAACAGAAATGGCTAGAAAGTAGCTAAAAAAGTTGCCAGAAAAAAATCATAGCATACCCGAAAGGGGCGACCGTTGAGGGCGGCTGTGAGTCGAAATTTGTATGAAAATGCAGCTGAAATACCAGGCGAACAGAAATCGCCAGAAAGTAGCTGAAAAAGTTGCCAGAAAAAAATCATAGCATACCCGAAAGGGGCGACCGTTGAGGGCGGCTGCAAGCCGAAATTTGTATGAAATTGCAGCTGAAGTACCAGGCGAACAGAAATGACCAGAAAGTTACTAAAAATCCGACAATTAAAATTTCTGTTGCATACCCAAACGGGGCAAATTTGGCGGTTATTTTTTGAATGTCAAGCGAAATGGCCATATTTAAATCTGCAGTATAACTGCTATATTTCTGCTGCATCTTTGGCTATTCTGAGCAGTTTGACATATGTTAAACGGTTTGTAGTGATGAGAACTATTATTTATTGAAAATCCTTTCTCAAGGACATACAAATGGCTTAGCTTATGACTTGCAATACAAAATTTTCAGCTGCTACAATAGGAATAATGACAATAACAGCTTAAACATAGAGAAATTAATAATTATAATAATAATAATTATGATAATATTAATGGCAATAGATGTACAGATTCTTCACTTCCTAATAATTTAAAACAAAATTAATAATTATTTTAATAAAAATATTAAATAACATTTTCCATGATTAAAGAATATAAACAAATTATGGCTTACTTATAAAACTTAAAAGTGTAAAAAAACTAGAAAATAAATATCTTGAAATACTTTTCATAATTGGCAAGCACAACGCACAATGCCAAAGCTCCTTTTTGCAATTTCGAGTCAAATTCCAAATGAAATGTTTATCCTGCAGGGTGCGCAAATTGTTTAGAGCAAAAAAGTTAGCTAAGAACTACTGAAGCGAGAGTTGTGTAAGTTGTGCGGTGCTGAATGGTCGACGGTGTGGTAGTAGCAGTTCGTGCGAGTGGGGTGTAGGCTGGTGGTGGTGTTGGTTTCATTGTGTCACACAGTCATTGCAGTCGGCAGTGGTGGCTTCGGTGGGTGCCACGCGCGTTTTTCGCTCCGATTTGCTGCGAAACAGCGGCCAGCGCTTGCTCCAGAAGCCGCAGGAGCTGCTGGAGCGGCGCAGCTTCTTGGCCGACTGGCCGACGGCTTGGGCTGGCTCCACGGCCAGAATGGTGCCGAGTGTGGCCTGAGTGGTGTGCGGATGCAGCACCAGATCGGTGCGCGCTCGCTGCACTTGCCGACCATCGTAGTTCTCCACCACAATAATGGGCGTGGCACGCAAACGTTGCGGCACATTGAGGCGAAAGTGGGGCTGCAACGATTGGCACTGGCGCTGCCTCCGACTGCGCCACAAGTGCGTCTTCAGGCTGGGCCAATGGAAGAACTGACGCAGCGAGACCGGACGCTCGGCGTGCAGCAGATCGCGCACCAAATCGGGCGCATCCTGGCTGCCAGCTGCTGGCACCGCCTCGCAGCTGGAGCTCCTGTTGACATTGTCAGGTCTGTCAAGGTCATGGCTGTTACTGTTACTGTTATTGTTGTTGTTGTTGTTGTTGTTGTTGTTGTTGTTGCTGGTGTTGCTGGTGTTGTTGCTGGTGTTGTGGGGTGGCGTGCTGACATAGAATTTGGTTCGAGTGCGAGAGACACGCAAGCTACTGGTCTTCCATGCATCGTGCAGGGTTCGGATGCCGGGCAAGCGGGCGAGCATGTGGATGTGGTCGTAGGAGGCTGACAACATACCTGCGCGCTCATCCTGATATTCATCATCGTCGGAGGACTCTAAGCGGTCCTCCACCAGCGACGTCTGCCGCGACAGACCCTACGTATTTAGGCGTATGCGTAATGTGTGGCACATGTTGCAAGTTGTGTAAGCGTTTACAGAGAGACGAAGCCAAAACGAAGTCAAACATAAAAGTTAATACCAAAATAAAACAACAATAGAACGGATAAATAATGTACAAGGCGTCTACATGGAGCCAGCAGCTCGTGAGCTGGCTCGTGCCGGCCCGTGACACGCACTACACACAGACAACGGCACATCTAACGGGCCCGCGACTGACGCCGCTCAACTTACCGCATTGTGGCGTCGACGTGGCGGCGAGCGCTTGTTCCACAGCGCCTCCAGCTGATCAAAGTGCTGCGACTGGGCCAAGGCGGCCTGCTCGGGCCCGAGATTGGCCTGGGAGGCGCCCGTCTTGGTCTCGGCTATCTTCGAGATCTCCTCCATGCTGGCGGAGACGCTGAAGCGGCGCTTCAGCCGCTCATCCACCTGGGCCATCATCACCGACGAGGTCAGGTGACCGTACTTCTTCTGCCAGGTGTACGTGTCCAGGGAGACTTCCTTCTTCAGCAAGCGCTTCATCTGCCGCTTGGGTCCCTGCGGACGCAAATCTGAGAGGAGCAGGAGCAGGAGGAGGAGGCGAATGAGCTCATTTCAAATTGGAATTTCATTTCAATTTCCACTCCTTACCTTCCACATCCTTGCTGGGACCGGAGTAGGTGGGCAGCTTGACATATTGGGCCGGCGTATTGTGCAAGCAGATGACTGGCAAATTGTAGCTATCGACCAGCTGGACGAGCACGCGCGACACCTCCAGGCTGATGTCGAAGTGGGTGAAGGGCACGTGCATCTGCAGCGAGGTGAGCGCCAGGCCGCGCTTTGTCTCCCAGACAATTAGAGTCTTGTCATCGCTGCCCGACACGGCCGTGGAGCCTGCAAAGAGGGGAGAGCCAGGGGGTGTGGGAGTGGGAGTGGAAGTGGCAGTGTAGGCATCAGCAAGGGAGTAGAGTAGAGTGTCATCACAGTGCTTACCATCGGCCGACACCTTGACGCCAATGACGGCGCCCAGATGGCCAGCGAGCGTGTGCACCTCCTCGCCGGTGAGCAGATCCCATATGATTAGGTTCATGTCCTTGGAGCCGGAGATGACTTGCGTCTTGTTGGTCACCGAGACGGCGACGCAGGTGACCGCATCGCTGTGCCCGACAAGCACCTGGCTCAGCTTGCCGCCCATCGACTGCCAGACCTTGAGCGACATATCCCTCGATCCGGTGATAATGTGCATGCTGTCCGCGCTGATCTCGAAGCAGGTGATCTCGTCCGAGTGCGAGACGGAGTACTTCTCGTCCTCCTGCGTGAGGGACCAGATCTTGAGCGTGTTGTCGCCATTGCTGGAGACGGCGAAGCGCATGTTGTTGGTGGCCGCCAGATTCTTGTAGGGGCCCTGTATGGTCTGCAGCAGATTGCCGGAGTCGGCCATCCAGACGAGCATCATGGACTCGCGATCCGTGGAGATGACCCGCAGCGAGTCCATCAGCACGACCAGCTGCATAACGGGCGCCGCATGGCCCTTGAATGTATGAGTGATCTCGGCCAGCGCCAAGCTCCACACCTGGACCAAACGATCATCGCCGCCGGTGGCCAGGAATTCGCCATTGGGCGCAAACTTCAGGCAGTTCACCACGCAGGTGTGCCCCTCCAGGGTGTTCTGGTACTCCGGCGTATTGATGCGCATCAGGTGCACACTCCGGCCGGAGGCAATGGCCACCTGCTGCGAGTCGCGCGACAGGTCGAAGCAGGTGATCGGCGGCAGCGTCGTCGAGGGCGAGCGCTGCGCCTGGTTGTGGCGCTTGAGGCTGCGCTTGCGACGCGGATGCCTCGAGTACGGGTTCACATAGAGCTCCTCGTTGCGGAACGAATAGAACGTGATCTTGTTGCCGCCCACGGTGATCACAAAGTCGTCGTTGTCCATGGCATAGACGGCGGTCACCGGACCCGGATTCGGCGGCATCGAGCGCACCAATTTGCCCGAGTGCATGTCGTAGATAAGGGCGCGCGTGTCCTCGCACCCCACCACGCACCGCTGGCTGTCCTTGCCAATACAAATGCTGCGGACCTGATATAGATACAGATATAGATATAGATATGGATATAGATATAGATATAGATATAGATATAGATATAGATATAGATATAGATATAGATATAGATATAGATATAGATATAGATATAGATATAGATATAGATATAGATATAGATATAGATATAGATATAGATATAGATATAGATATAGATATAGATATAGATATAGATATAGATATAGATATAGATATAGATATAGATATAGATATAGATATAGATATAGATATAGATATAGATATAGATATAGATATAGATATAGATATAGATATAGATATAGATATAGATATAGATATAGATATAGATATAGATATAGATATAGATATAGATATAGATATAGATATAGATATAGATATAGATATAGATATAGATATAGATATAGATATAGATATAGATATAGATATAGATATAGATATAGATATAGATATAGATATAGATATAGATATAGATATAGATATAGATATAGATATAGATATAGATATAGATATAGATATAGATATAGATATAGATATAGATATAGATATAGATATAGATATAGATATAGATATAGATATAGATATAGATATAGATATAGATATAGATATAGATATATATAGATATAGATATAGATATAGATATAGATATAGATATAGATATAGATATAGATATAGATATAGATATAGATATAGATATAGATATAGATATAGATATAGATATAGATATAGATATAGATATAGATATAGATATAGATATAGATATAGATATAGATATAGATATAGATATAGATATAGATATAGATATAGATATAGATAGATATAGATATAGATATAGATATAGATATAGATATAGATATAGATATAGATATAGATATAGATATAGATATAGATATAGATATAGATGTAGATATAGATATCTATATAGATATCTCTTACTCACCCGCGATTTGTGCCCCTTGAGCGTGTGCAGCTCCTTTCCGGTGGCCAGGGTGCGCACGTAGAGCGCATTATCCTCGCAGAGCGCCAGCAAAAAGACCTGCAACAGCAAGGCGAAAGGACGAAAGGACAATGTGTATTAAACGCATTTAATTGACATTTTCAACGCTATTTTAATGCATTCCCTGCCATTTGATGGCGACAAAAGCCCGACTAAATCAGTCTGTCTCACTCACTTACTCTCTCTCTCTCTCTCTCTGTCTCTCTCACTCTTTAGTCTGCTTGCCAACGCACTTCTGTTTATACTGTTTGGCCCTATCCAATCAAATATTAATAAATTGCATTCCGCAATGGAAACTTTTGTTAAGGTACACTGAGCGAAAAGGGTGCTTAGGTTGGCTTAATATAGCAAATGGAAATATGGAAATAGGGAATATAGATGTACTCTCCTTAGTGAGATCTATTTGATCTATTTCATTCAATTGATTTATTTATCTATTTATCACATCTCTTTCTTTATTTCTTCTACTCTCCCTTCTATCAGTCATTCCTTATAGTTCTCTCCCTCTTTGCCACTTTTCTTTTTACTTGCTCTCTGTTTTACTTGCATTTTCTCTATTTTCCTTCATTACTTTCATTATCAATTTCTCCCTCAGTTTCTCGCTGTTATTTTTGCATTTATTCTCCTTCTTTTGCAACTCTTTGCGTTTTATATCTGCTCTCCCTTTCCTAAGAGTTTCCTACTTACTACTGAAATATAAATTGAATAACTCTTATCCTTTCTCAAAAAAATTCAATTTACGAATTCTAAATAAAAAAAAGAAATATTTAAAATTTAAGGTGTTTTTTTTTTTCTGGTAAAGCGCCAAATCGAATATTGTTTTTCTCTTATTCCGTATTTCATTTTTCCCTCTTTTTTGTGGGTATCCTATCTCTCCTCTGATTGCTTTTAAATATTAATAAATTTCTCGCCGTGTGCTCGCAGGAAAAAAAGCGAAGCAGGAACAACTGAGGCAGGCTGGGCTGCAGTATTTCCAGCGAGTCGGGAAATTGAAAAATGCCAACAACAACAACAACAACAACAACAATAACAGCAACAGCAACGAGAATTGAAATAAGAAGAAGTCGTCAGGCTGAAGCAAATGACAAGGACGCCAGTCGCAGGGGCCATTTGGCTCATTGCAACATTTCAATTTTCAGGGGAAATAGCCCGGCCAGAAGACGCGCAGCGCGAGGGGAGGGCGGAAAAGAAGTGGGACTTTAGCGTGCCGCAGAGCCATCAGGATGTAAGCTAAAGTGTAAGAAAGTTGATTTCCGTTTGCCATTTGCCATTCGCCATTCGTCCACGAGCCAGAAAAGAATGCTTGGCCTCGCCTGGCCGTGGCAGGATAACGGAATTGTCTCTCAAGTGGCTGGCTAGCTGGCAATAATAAACACACTCACACACACACACACATATATATGGGAGTGTCTCATGTGTGTGTGTAAAATTACGTTTCAATTTTGAGGCTCAAAATTTGTGCGCGAACGAGCTGCTTAGACGCCGGTTATCAGCGACGTGCTTATAGCCAATTTGTTCAATTTTCGGCACTTTGGCTTAATGCGATAAGCCCAACAACAATTTTGGTTATACTTTTGGCAACAGTACAGCGCAATGCGAGCTGTCTAATTGAGAGAGCGAAGGAGTAAAAGAGAGAGGGAGAGAGAGAGTGAGTGTGTGTGTGTGTGTGTGTGTGTAGATTTCCCTCTCTATAAGTAAGCCTTGGGCTGGCGCTGCTTTTGGTAATTCAAGTGACGCTGCTGTATCCAATATCAGCATCGCGTTATCTGATGCGAATGGAATGTGCTTTAAAGCCCTGAGGCATCCACCTAGCTACACAAATGTTGCCAGTCGCCAGAGAGAAAAGGAGGCGCACACACACACCCACACACCCACACAGACAGCGAGGCACTTGAAACATGCATCAATTGTCGCGCAGCTAGGATACTTCCTAGCCCCTAGATACTACGTAGTTACCATTGACAGGACGTCTCTATTGATATTGTTTTGCGTGCCAAATTGCTGCTAAGTATGCAATACATATTGATGGAGATAGACACACACACACGCACATACACAGAGAGAGAGAGAGAGAGAGAGCGAGCGAGTTAGCAGCAGAAGCAGTTGCTACAGCTTTTTGTCAAGCTGATTGACAACAAAGGATTTGCCTCGTAATGCGGATCTTCTAAGCCAAAATCACTTATTAGAATCCACCCGCCAGGCAGACGACAGAGCTGCCGCTGCCGCTGCAGCTTCTCTAGCTCACTCCCTGACGCTACTCCCCCGCCCCCGTCCCTGCCACAGCCACTCCATTAAGCTGTGACATGTTTCAGCTTTGGCTGCCGTTGCTTTAAGCACATTTGTATATTCTAGCATTTTTATTATATGCTTTTTCTAGCTGTATCTATCAAATGCAGCTTTAAACGCACACACACACACAGAAAGAGAGAGAGAGAGAGGGAGAGAGAGAGAGAGAGAGAGAGAGAACGCGAGTGAATCGAGCTGTTGGCATGAAATTCTTGGCTAAAACAGAGATTTCTGCCATTTTTGCTATTTGGCCAACGCACACACGCAGCTGGCATACTTATAATCGGCACAAATCCTTTATGGCCTTAAAGCGCTCACAGCGCCCCACAAATGGAATGCATTGAATATTATTGCAGAATTTAATAATCCACATAAATAGGCTGACGAAATTCATGGAGAATTTTAGCTGCTAATTGTTCTGCTCAAAGCAGCCTAAAAGAGATAAAGCAGCATTGAAATTTACCTGAAATATCTGAATTTATTTTTTTTTTAGATAAGAATTGTTTATAGCCTTAGAAACAAAACAGAAGAAAATTATTTCTTTTTTTTTTATGAGACTTCAACTTTAATTTTCGGTTTCATTTCAGCATGAAATAATGCTAAGAAATAGTAGCTGATATATAGTATTAATATATAGATAGACAGGAATATAAACTGTGCATGAGAACAAGAAAGATTCAGCTTGAAATTATTTAGGGGAATATAAATTGTATAAAATTTATTTTTAGATATATTACGCTTAGAAGTATTTTTATACATTTAATTAAAGATTTTCCGTATAAAAAATTCCGTTACGTATATCTAATTTATCACCGTACCCAAATATATCTCAAATTAAATAAGATATATTGATTTTTCGAAATAATCAAACTAAATTGCTGAACGAAACTGAAACTTTTCTATAATTTTTTTTTTTAATTATTTAAAGAATTTTCTTGCTCAATATATATCAACATGAGCAAGGCTGCCTGAAGTGATGTTAGGCGACTATTGGATAACCTAAACTGCTATTCAAAGCATTTAATAAACATATGGAACGTCTAACAGACAAACAGACTAACAGACAAACATGGCTAGATAGACATCAGCTCGTCCTCCTGCTCAAAAATAAGTATACGCCTTGTGTTGCCTGACAAGCCTCCTGCTGGCGGTTTCATACGTTTTCACAAAGCCATAATAAACTGAATTCACATTTTCATTGCGCTCAGGACATAAAAAGCAACGGTTTCCAGTTGCCATCTGAGCCAAGTATATAGCATTTTTATATTATTTCATTTGAAATGCATTTGCAAATAAATAGAACCCCTGCATGAGCCACGCATATGCGATGGCTTGACTCGCGTAAGAAAAATAGTATATGGCCATATCTGAATATTAAATTTGCCTACTTGAGTATATTTTCTATGTCTTTAGGGTAATTGTATATAAAATTCATTAGCAAATTTTATAGTAGAAGTCGATCCTTTGTGTAGTTTGCCTAAAGCAACGGCATGGAAACTTTCTTTCCGTGCCTGAAGGCCTTTGTCGCTCTGGCTTAAAGAAATTGTTACTTAGAATTAATTTTTGGTAACAATAAATAAATAAATAAATAAAACTTTCTTTCCTATTGTTTTATTTTTTGATGTACAGTTTCTCTACTTCATAATAATAATAAATAAAACTATATATATTTTGTAATATATAAAAAAATCTATTTTTTCTCTAACACGATAAAATACTTTTCAATTTATATGTATCTCAATCTCTTGTCCTCATAAGACTCAATTACATAATAGGTTATATAAAAGTCACTTAAATAAAATAATTGCAAATTCCTTTTCACTTTCTACTCTAATATAACTTTTCTCTAAAATCTGAAAATACTTTTCAATTAAGGTCTATCTCAATCTCAATTGTGCTGTCAACTATTTTATGGTTTATTTGCTTGCATGTCCGATTAGGCCTTCTCCAATGGCCAATGCGTTTCCACACAGTCTGGCTGGAAACTGCTCGGCATATATCAACTGGATTTATGAGTGCGCCTGCATGGCATAGACATCATAAGTGGAGGGCATTTGTCAGGCAGACCTTGGCCATGGCTCTGACTGCAGCAAGTTCTCTCTATGTTATGGCCGTACTTACCGAATTGCAGGAGATATCGATGCGCAGCACCGAGCTAGTCATTTGCATGGTATTCAATAAGGCGTAGTTCTCCAGATCCCACACGCAGATGTTCTTGTCGTGGCTGCTCGAGATGAGCACATCGCAGGCGCCGGCGACCAGGATACCTGTAACTGGGCCACGATGGAAGGTGATGCGATGCACCTGTAAATCAGATCAACGTTGAAAACAACAACAACTATTAGATGAGCTCACTGAATGCAATCGAGTTTTTATGGTTCGATTGAAGTTGATTTAAGCAAATGGCGCGCGAGGTCAGCTGAGGGAGGCGGGGGCTGAAAAGGCTGGCGTGACATATGTGAAGCTGTCACAGCTATATTTATGTGTGGCTGTGTAGGTGTGTGTGTGTGCGAGTGTGTGCGTGTGTATTTCTCTGTCTGCCTGCGTGTGTGGCACACTTTGTATGCATTAAGTTAATTACCGTTCGGCATGCGATGTTGACAATGTGCTCGAGCAAACGTTGCCAGCTTCAGCCCCAGACCCACGGCTGTCCGCTCTCTACCACCCTAACCCCCAGCCCACCCCCTTCACTCCAGAGCTTACGCTAGGTGTGTATATGCGAGTCGAAAGTCACACAGAAATGCCAAAACTTTGATAAATTACCAAAAAAAAAAAAAAAAAAAAAATGAAAATAAAATAAAAATAAAAAAATTATATATACATATTTATATATACGTAAAAAAGCAGCAACAACTCGAAAATGCGAAAAGCAGCGACAGTAACATGAAAGCGAAGCCAGCAGACAGCAGCCAGCAGCCAGCAGCCATCATGACTCTGCATACATGGCGTATACTTAATATTGTAATTAATTTAATAAGCGCCTGTAATTTGGTGTGCTTCGCATGTGTCGACGTCTGAGCTCTGCTCTGCTCAGCTATGCTGTCTGCCGCGTCATGCCACATGCTAAGTGTAAAATCTGCACTTGACTAGCTTTCAAATTCTGTGGCAGTCAGCGAAATTGGCTTTTTAAAATATGCTAGTCGACATTTTTATTTATTTTTTCTTTTTTGCGCCCAGCAAGTGGCAATAAATCTAAATTATATGTGTGTGCAAAAGTGTGTATGCATGTGTGTGAGTGTGCGTGTGTGGCTGTGTAGAAGCAAACCAGGAGGTCCAAGGACATGCCCAGCCGCACTTTATATGCAAACATTGCATTGTAGTTAATCACAGTTTAATGTGCCAGCTCCTGTGTGCGTGTGTGTGTGTGTGCGTGTGTGTGGGTGTGGACATGTGCGAAATTTCAGCATAATATGATTTATGGTTACATGGGCATAGGCAGGCGCTTTTCGGCCGCTGTGTGTGCCGCTTCATTTGTCAGGCATGCCACAAACAAACACAAATTCATGTTTAACTAGTAGCAGGGCGCTTGCAAAGAGCTAATCGACCAGCAGTTACGCTGTTAACTAACAGGAGCTGAGTTAGTATGCTGATAGTAGAGGAAATGGAATAGAGACAAAGCGCTAACAGCAAGTTAACATATTATGTTATTTAACATAGTTATGTATTTGAATTTCACTATTGTAAGCAGTCGTTAAACAGACAATAGAAAAGTCTATAACAGATTGACAACAGCAAGAGCTAAATAACAGCTAATTAACAGAGTAGCAAAAGGAAAAGATTGTACATATAGCAAGTGCTTGAACGAGTGCTAGAGTAATTAAAAGAAAATGTTACAATATAAATACATAACTGCTATGACTTAAAAAACATATTAATTTTATAGCTATAAATAAAAAAAAAATTCTACAATTTTTAATAATCAACATTTAATATTTGATTAACAATTAATTTTCAAAAATTAGAATCTAAAATTAGAGTCTAAAATTGGAATACAAAAAAATGGGAGCATTTCTAACAGCTGCCTAACATAAGGTAAGCCTGTTGCCAGCTAACAAATATGTTAATTACGTTCACATACTGTAAACCCAAACAAAACCCAAACCCAGCTAAACTAATCTGAAGTTAAGCAAAAAGTCTTAAGCGTATGCAAACATAAATCAACCTTTTGTGACTCTAACTATGATATAGGGTACAGCAGCTGGCAGCACACTAGACACACACCTACATACACAGAGAGAGACACATGTGTGTGTGTGCGTGTGTAGTAACTGTGATTACGACCTCGTTTGGCGCAAAGGCAAGGAATTATGCAAATTAATGCGGTTTGTTTGCTGTGGATCGCGTTGCGGTCGCGCAATTAGGCGACAGCCAAATGCATTTAAGACTTTAACATTTTCGAGCTAACATTTCGGCTCTGTTCTGCAAATGTGTGCGTATTTAAGCTAAATGCCAAATGGTATTCAATTAAACAGCGTTGGCCTTTAGCTTGGCTGCCTGTAAATATCTATTTAAATAGGGAATGTGGAAAGGGGAGAGAGGAGAGTGGGGGTGGGGTACACTTACCAATTTGCCGCTGGCCAGGTCTGTGATGGCAATTGTTGCATCGTCGCTGCTGCTAATGATCAGCGTGTTGTTGACGCCAGCTGCGACGCCCGTTATGGCCGCCGTGTGAGCTCTGCGAAGAAGTGGGAGAGAGAGAGAGAGAGAGGTAAAATGAAAGCCGATTAGGTAGCCGATTCGGCAAGGTCAGAGCTGTGCACTCACTTAATGTGCGCTCGTCTTTCGCGCAGCGACACGTGCCACACCAATACGGTCGAGTCCTCGGAGCCGGTCAGCAGGAGCTGCGATTGCTGGGGCGCCACCAGCAGGCACGTGACTGCCGCCGTGTGTCCTGCATGATGATGATGATGAAGATGATGAAGATGATGATGATTAGCTCGTCTAATGGCAGCACCCTTAATGACACACTTACCCTTGTACGTATGCTCCAGCGAGTTGCTCATGATGTGCCACTGCTGGACGTCGCCCGAGTTGGTGGCCAATATCAGGTGCTGGTGAGAGGGCGCCAGGCAGACGGCGCGTATGACGCCCGTACCGGTCACCGTCATGGTGCGTATCTGGGAGGGCAGCGGCGCGGGCAGCCAGCCGGTGAGCGGCACCAGCAGCGGCACAGCGTAACCGTCGCACCAGGCCGTCGCCGAGCGCACCGTCATGCTCAGCAGCGAGTTGTCGTCGTCGTCGTGCTCCCCGATGGGCCGCAGCCAGGAGACCAGCTGGGAGCCCAGCTGCATGGGATCGCGGGTGAGGACGTCGCTCGACTTGCGTATGGTGTAGTAAATGAGCTCAATGTCACGATCCAGAATGTAGCAGCGCACGTGCTCTATTAGGCAGCGCAGGTAGCTAATCGATACCGTTTGCACCTGCAGTAGCCCAATGCCAAATTGTGGCATGAATTAGCATGTTACGTATACGCCTAGTGGCCGGGCGGCTTATATATAAATTCTATATATATGTAAATATGTGTGTATATGCTGTGTGTGTGGGTGTGTGTGTGTACTAATAATGAGCAGCGGCAATATTACGTATACGCCTTGTGTTATTTGGCATATCTAAACAGCTGCACGCATATTGCGTATACGCCTTGGTAATGCGCCGCAAAAATGTTTAATGTCTGGGCAGCCGCATGAATATTAAGTATACGCATTGTATTCGCTTCTAATTTAGCTTTAAATTACAAACATTCTGTGTGTGAGATGTGCGAGACGATGGTGGCTTTATTATGCTATGCTTGAATATTTCAATATTAAGTATACGCATTGTATTCACTTGTAATTTAGCTTTATAAAATATTAAGAATACTCGCTAAACGAGATGTTGATGCTTTATTATGCCTAGCTTGGATATTACGTATACGCATTGTATTTGCTTGAGCCAGTGGCAGTTAGTTAAATATTACGTATACGTATTTATATAAATACCAAAGTGCACAATCAACTACAAATTGTTCACTTTGGTATGTATATTAAAATGAAATTTTCATATTACGTATACATTTTATATGGAAATATTACGTATACGCATCATGGGCTATCGCTTTAATAATTTTGTTAGTAAGCTACCGAATGTCAATCCGCTTCAAATCAAGTCAACTGTATTATTCAATTATTTAAGTTATTTATACTTAGCTCGAATCTATCAATTATATTGAAGTATTTTTAATTTTAAGCATTTTTTTAATTTATAAAATTATTTTTATCATCTAAGTCAAAACTTTAAAATCTGTCAATAATCTAGTATCAAGTCAACTATAATCTTAAATTATTTTAGGTAGCTATTCACAGCTCGAAATTGTTCAATTTATATAGAGGTATTTTTAGTTCTATTTATTTTATATCAATTGCAAAACCTTGCATAGAAATAACAGCTAACTTTATTGCTTCCCTTTCAGTTAATTTTGTTGTGCCCAAAACAAATGGCCGATCAAAGCGGGCAAACTGACAAATTCGTAAGCCCAGTTGGAAAGTTTTCACACAAAGTTGCAAAATATGGAAACATTTTTAGCCGCTGACCTTCGGGCGGGCTTGGGGGGCTTCGCCAAAATGTTAATTAAATCAAGTTGCAGCTGCAACGGCAGCACTTTTATGCATTCGCTTAATTGGAAAGCAGGTCAGCTTGCAACACACACACACACACACACACACATACACATGCACACACCTACACAACTTGCTGTTGAGAGCTGCCGAAATTGTGGCACGTGTCGGGCTTGCAGCAGCTGCAACAGTGTCACAGGGCATCATTTTTCATATGCCATTGAGCTCAGCATATTTCCGATTCCAGCTATCTTTCGCCTCGTTCGCCCTCTCTTTCTTTTTTTGTTGGCCAACATTTAACTGCACATATTTTGCATATATTCGCATGAATTGCATTTATTTTCGATGTCGGCCAACAATTTATGGGCAAATGCATATTTCATCTGTCAAGCAGCGATAAATTCATTGTAAAACTCGGCACTTTTAGCTTGGCTTAATTCGATTTGCCAGCATAAAAGCTGCTTAAATAATCATGTCCGACAGTCCCTTGTCTAGCCAAAAAAAAGCTGGAAAAATGCACGGAAAACTCTGCCAATTTCAGCGGCTGTGCAGCGCGATTCGGCGCAATTTCCGCACGAACAACTTTCATAATGAATGACGACATTTTAAACAATTAAACACCAAATGACGTTGGCAGCTGTTTCAGGCTGTCCCAAGCTGTCCCAGGCTGTCCCAGGCTGTCCCTTGCTGGACCTGTCAGCCCATTGTTTTTAGCCATAATGCAGCATTCTGTGCTGCAATTTGAGAATTCTCAGCAGCTGGACAACTAAGAGATAATTGCAGCTGAGCTCTGCTGCTTTATGGCTTTAGCTTTTTTTTTGGGCTAGAAATGCGCTAAGCTTTAATTAAGGCGAATAGGAGTTTTGTGTTCAGTATTTTTTTTTTTATATCTATTCAAACTGATACTGAGCTTGATGAGTTCAGGCAGCCTTATGCATGAACACCTAAAAAGTCTAGTAATATATATAATATATTTATCATATATCTGTATATTTCTAATAGTCAACTATTCCATTTTAAATTTGCTACATAAATATGAACATTTTCATGAAAGATTAATTCAATAATCTAATAAGAATAAGAAACAGTCAAACGCATCCATAGCAAAAGCTAAAAGATCTCAAGAAAACTTCTTCGTTTAAATGTTTAATGGATTGATTATATAGATAAAGCAGACAGGCGAAAAGTTGCTCAAATTGCATTTGTCTAAATAACGGTAACATCTCTGCTATTGATGCTTTATCGCAAATTGCAAACAGTTTTGCAACTGTTAAATCGGATCAGAATTTATGAAGCATAAATAAAAGATATGAGCCTTAAGTTAGCCTGTAAAACTTTAAGCGCAAATAGTTGGAGCGAATGGGACGGAGGGAGAGGGGAGGGCGGCTCAGATTGTTTCGATTTGATGGCATGTTTAAAAGTTTATTAGACAAGTTGATTGCAGATTTTGCTGTTGTTGTTGTAGCTGTCATTGTTGTTGTTGTTGGCTTGTGACAATGGTGTAAATTGCGTTGATCGCAGAGGCATTTCGCTGCTCTCGTTGCAAAACCAATTTCCGCATGGCGCAACTAATTGCGACTGCTCGTTAAGATTGTAGCTAATGAATAGATGGGTAGCTTGTGGCAGGGCAGGGGCGGTGGAGGCGTGTTTTAAGGGTCGTGGTGGCTGTCAACTTACCGCCGCGAGCAGGAAATCAAAATTGCAGACTGCGATTTGCTTGAAGCGCGTCGTGTCATCGGACCGCATCAGATGATGCCAGCTCTCCTCGACGTGCCGCATGCTGTACGAGACATCGGCGGCAATGGGATTGTAAAAGGTGGATGTGTCGTCGTTGTGATGCGTTGACGATGATTTACGGCCAGCCGAAACGTTATCCTTCTCACGTTCCTTGTCCTTGTGCTGCGGCTCACGCTCCCTCAAGCTGATGACAGACTTTGTATCGCTTCTGGTCGAGTCGTTCTCCAACGTGCTCTCGTCCTCGTCCTGTGGGAAAAACAAATTGGCCAGCTCCATGTGCAGGCTGCGTGTGCGCTCCACGTCCATATAACGTTGCTTGGCGAGGCTGGCACAATAGTTGTGACGCCACTGTAGAAGCACCTTGCCGGACATGATTTTATCGTGCAGCAACAATCGCTTGTCTGTGGATAAGGAGGATAAGGGAAAGATTTTATATGTAGTTGATAGATACACAAATAGGTAGATAAAATAAATGGATAGATAAATAGATACATAGGGAGATACGGAGATGGATAAATAGATAGATGGATAGAAAGATGGATAGATAAATGGATAGATAGATAGATAGATGGATAGATAGATAGATGGATACTTAGATAAATATATGGATGGATAGATGGATAGATGGATAGATGGATAGATAGATAGATAGATAAATAGATACATAGATAGACAGATAGATAGATATATAGAGAGATAGATATACACATACTTAGATAGATAAATAGATGGAAAGATAGATGGACAGATGGATAGATAGATAGATAGATAGATAGATAGATAGATGGATAGATAGATAGATAGATAGATAGATAGATGGAGAGATAGATAGATAGACGTATAGATCATTCAATAGATCGTTAGATAAATAGATAGAATAGATAGATCTGAATAGATACAAAGATACATAGATGTACAGATATGTATATAAATAGATAGATAAATAAATAGATAGATAGGTGTATGGATGGTTAGGTAAAAAAAAAAAAAAAAACGATATATCGGTTCTCAATCACATTGATAGATACATCTGATATATTTATCGCTTTCTTTATCTTCCGATTTATATATATTTTTCGATTCTTCTCTTACCCATTTGCTTGTGTATCTTCTTGAAGCTGGCGAAGCTAAAGTGTCCATTGTGCGTATCGATTAGCGATTCGGGATCATCGGTGGGCATCAGCAGCTCCAGCAGCTCCGTCTCGGTCAGGCCGTACTCCGAGCAGGTGATGTAGGCGGCCAGGCTGGCCACCGCCTGGCGGCCGTACTGCTGCTCCAGCTCGTCGAACTGCTGCTCCACATAGGTGACAAAGTCGACGTCCGGTGGACATTCCTCTGGCTTCTGCAGCTGCGTGGCATTTGCCTCGTGGGAGAGCACGAATTGATATTCCGCTGACTTGAAGCGATCGCGCTGCATGGGCGTGAACTTGAGCTGTTCGACGGGCGTGGTCGAGCTGCAGATGATCTGCACGTTCCAGGGCAGCGATGTGGGCAGCCAGGAGAGAGCCGCAACAATGTCACAGTCCAGCGGATTCAGCAGATGCAGATCATCAATGAACAGGAACAGCACATCATTGTTCATGTCCTCGATGCGACGCAACAGATTCTGAAACCAGTTGCTAATGTACAGCGGATCGAACGAGGCGTCCTTGGGCAAGTAGCCCTCGGGTATGTTGAAGATGATCGAAATCTGCTGGCAGATGACGCGCAACAATTCCAAATTGTATGCCGAACGGGGCGTGGCCTTGGCGAACCGTATCACCCGATGCACGCGCGTCGAACTAAACCAGCCCGACACCTGCCCATAGAGAGCGCTAATCAACGCACTCTTGCCGCTGCCATGGGCGCCGCATATAAAGTACGGTGCATGTCGGCTGCCATTCCTGAAATTCGCCATCAAATTCTGCCGCAACTGGGCCGGCACACGCGACTCCAAGAGGGCCACACGTTCCGTATGCTCGCGCAGTATGCGCAAATGTGTGGCATGCTCGTGAAAGATTTCCTATGCGGGGAGAGAGAATGGGAGCATTAGTGTCTCTGTCTCTGTGGTTGGCAGTCATTACTAAATGGGATTCAAATAGTCAACAATCAGCAGCAAAAATTGGACACTTGACGTGTCCAGTCCACCCATGCCAATTGAAGCTTGTCAGTAGCAGCAGCAGGAGGAGGAGGAGCAGCAGCAGGAGAAGTAACAGTAGCAGCAGGAGGAGCAGCAGCAGCAGGAGCAGCAGGAGCAGCAGGAGCAGCAGGAGGAGCAGTAGCAGCAGCAGCAGGAGGAGCAGCAGCAGGAGCAGCATCAGCACTAAAAGTTCGCTTCTCGTTTCCTGACCGGGGCATATATTATGCCAAAGTATCATCCGCTGCCGTCCGTCTGTCTGCCTGTCTGTCCTATAAAGCGCCCTCTGTCTCGATGTGTGTTTGTTTGTAACTTTGTTTACCTGCGCTGCTGACAGTGTGCCACCTGCTGAGCTGAGCTGCTGTCACTGACATCCTCATCCCCAGCCTCTGGCAGCATCCTTGTGGTTCTACGTGCTCTCATTCACTGGCACTGGCCTGGCACTGGCATATTTACCACTAACAAGTAGACACCACCCACACTCACACACACACATACACACACACTTGATGCTCTCTCGAGTCCCCTTCAGTTTCATCTTTAGCTCTGTCTAAGCCATCCAGACGCAGCTCATGCATACACTGCACAACTAAAGCATGAGTTAAGCCCTCAAAGGCGAGCGACTCGAGTGGACAGCAGTTCTTGAAGTTTTATTCTTCCCTTACTTTGGCCTCATGCTAAAAGCTAATTATTATAATAAAGTTAAGTTGTGCACTCAATTTTAAACAAAAACTGAAGACCTTTTCAAATTTACATAAAGTTATTGCAGTGTATTGCAAAGGGAGTTTGAGAGAGAGAGAGAGGGAGAGAGAGGGAGGGAGGAAACAAGAGGCAGCTGGTGCTACACAAATATCCTAACAATTCAACAAAACTTTGCCTTTACTTCAGCTTTACCTACAGTTAATTAAAATCACAAATCGAACAACATTTCTTTCAGTGTATAAGCACCCACATGTGGCTTGAGGCACATTGCAAAGTTGTTTTTAATCCCTCACCATGGACAAGTTCAAGCAGCTGAGCTTGCACTCAGCAGCTGTGCTTGCAATATTCAGTGAAACGTATCGGCCACAACATTTCGCTCAGTGTATGGCTAGTCACGTTTAGTTTAAATATACTTGAACTAATTGAATTCCTAATCCTCTTGCAGCCTCAAGTTCCAGCTGCTGTTCTTTGCCCAACTGTGAAAGCCACTTCTTCTCAGTGCACAATTAGCACCACATTTCTCTCTGTGTACAGCCATTCACTCTTAGTTTGTATTAACTTCAACGGGCACTATGCTTAATCCTCTGCTTTCATCAGCTGTAGAGCAGCTGTGTAAGCTACTTATTTATTTGACATAAGTATTGCCGGTTTTCTCTCAGTGTATGGCCAGTCACGTTTAGCTTCAATAAGCTTGAACTAATTGAACTTTTCATCAGCTCGTTCATTAAGCTGTAGTTGCTGTTTTTTTTTTTTTTTTTTTCTTTCTTTCTTCTCTCAGTGTACACGCAGTCACGTTTAGTTTATAGTTCAGAGCTAAGCGTAATTCCTTCTCTTGTTATTTTTATACCCTGAACCCATTGAAAATGGGAAATCAGGGTATAATGGGTTTGTGAAAAGTATGTAACAGGCAGAAGGAATCATCGCAGACCCCATAAAGTATATATATTCTTGATCAGCACGACGAGCTGAGTCGATATAGCCCTGTCCGTCTGTCCGTCTGTCCGTCCGTCCGTCCGTCCGTCCGTATGAGCAAAAGAATCTCAGAAGATATAAGAGCTAGAGAGCTGAAATTTGGCATGCATACTCGTGTATACCATAGGCAGTACAAGTTTGCTTTATTTTTTCGATAACTCGTCCGATAACTTTTTTATCGAGAATAATCGAAAAATCGACTCGGTTTTTTCAGCCTAATTTTAACACTTTTAAACCTGGAGACTTCAAATTTGGGTTGTATATAAAGTTAATGGATACAAAGATTTTGTAATTTACAGATTTTGGATACCACGCCCCCTTCTCCCCCAATTTGTAAAAAACGCATTTCAAGTACTAGAGACTTGTGCTTTGGAATGTACACATATTTTAACCATATGATTACGCTCTGAAAGTTTCATTAAGATCGTATGTCTACAAAAGAAATTATTCAACAAATAAATTGTTATAATATTGCCCACATTGCAGCGCAGCCCAAGCGCAGTCGCTGCTAACTGCGCAGTCAGCAGAGCGCGTGCTTATAAGTGCATGTGTATGTATGTGTGTATAAAAGAAGTCCAGACTGATTAGAATATCAGCTTGGAGGGTTCAGGGTATCTCCTAGTCGAGCAGTCTCGACTGGAGCCTTCTTACTTGTTTACTTTTGCATGTTTCATTTGTCATTTTTCATTTTTCATGTTCAACAAACTCAGCATTTTTTGCAGTGCATACGCATAGTCACGTTTAGTTTGAATAAACTTCAGAATTATTCCTTCTTATATTCCTTTCTGTTCTTTTCTGATTGTAAATTAACCCTTTAATATTAAATTTATGCATTTAGGGTCGTCTTTAGTTTAAGTAAACTTAACCTCACAATGGTCCCATTGCAGCTAAATTTTATCTGAGTAAAATCTCTATGCTATATCTAATTCTTCTCAAGTTTCAGTTCAATTTTTGTAAGTAATGTCCTTTATTCAATAAACTAATCTAGCTGGCATTTCTTTCCGTGTATGCCTTAATTTAATGAATAACTCTTTTACATACTTATTTAACATGCCTTTTTCTCTCAGTGTAACAGCCTCCATTTGCTTCAATAATTTCAAGTTACTCAAATCTTTCTCCACTTTAATTGCCAAACACAATCCCAGCACATCCTGCATAAAGTTTCCTCTCAAGCTCAACTTGTTTACACTCTGCGTTTCGCTCAGTGTACATATACGCTCAAGTGTATTTCTGGCTTCAATAAGAGGCTTTCGCTTTGTAAATCTGATTGGAACGCTGCACTGGCTGTGGCTTAGCCACTAAATCAACATTTCCACATAAACATGCAGCAGCGGTCAAGTGGGTGGGTGGGAGGATTGGGTGTGCATGTGTGTGTGTGTGTGTGTGAGTGTGCGTGTGTGTGTGCCAAGTGCAGATATGTGCTGAAGTAGTCGCTTAATTAGCTCGACATTTGCATACGATTTCATAATACATAGAAATATTGCGCATACGCCATGTGAAACCTTTCTTCTTCAGCCTCTTCTTCTTCGGCCTGTAGGTGTTATCGTTGTGTGCGTGCACACTTTGCATATTTCTCGGCTACTTGACGACTTCCAAATGCCACAACATTTTGTCAAAGTGCTAAAGCTGCCTTGAGCTAATGCCACCACACCGAATCCAGGGCCGGCGCTTTGGCGTTGACTTTAAGATAGTGCCAGAGCACTGGCGAGGCTTTTAAATTTCAAGGATTCTTGACGAGGGGGGCGTGGCATGACGTGGCGTGTTTGCCAGTGAATGCGCTGCCGTTAAGTGCAAACAAGTGCAGTTCGTGTGGGCTGCATTTGTGCACAAGTGTAAGTGTGTTAATATGTCATGCAGCAGCCGGCGCTCGTATTGGGGCCAGCCAGCGGAAGAAGTGGAGCAGCCAGAGAGGGAGAGAGGGCGGGTGGCAGTGGCAGAGAGTGCGTCCGCTAATGGGGCAGCCAAAGCTCGCATTACGCGGCGTCCTTCGCATTCCCTTTTGCTGTTGTTGTTGCTGCTGATTTTTTTCTCGTTTTGGCCAAGTTGAAATGTTAAATGCTTTTAACAAAAGCCAACGCGCCAGTTCGTGGCCAGCAATGCGGCAAGTCCGGAAGACACAGTCATCCAGCGAGCTCAAACACAGCCCAAACCACCAGCCCAAAGTAAATTGTTGCCAGCATCTTGGCAACTTGTTGTTGCTGTTGTTTTTTATTTTGGGCGGTGGGTTGGTGGGTGTAGAGCCAAAAATACTTATGGCTGGCGGCTGTGAAAGCCGAGCAAAAATCCAGCCTTGTTTATGCCAGAAAATGAAGATGCCTTGTTATTGGCTTTGCTTTTTGGATTTCCTTCCATTATTATTACGTTCGTTCTCTGTTTTCGTTTGCTTTCACGTTTGCGTTTGTTGTTGTTGTTGTTGTTGCTGCTCTCTGGCCATCAGCCATTTGGCAATTCAATTTCACAGGTGTTTCAGCAAATATTGAACGAACGAAATTGATAAGCCAGAGAAAATGCCATGTAAGCCACACTAATAGAAAGTCGACAATAAATCAGCCGAGGTTCTATATATTTAATAATGGATTGACTTGAGACTATGCCGTCTATAGTTCCTAACGACTTTTGTGCAATAAATAATAGATGACTTTATAAATATGTAATATCAATATGTGTTTCTCGGAATTGCCTTCGATATGCGACAGGCTATATTAAATGCTCCAGGCAGTAGAGTTGCTGGCATTTATTAATATGGCTCTCGATATATTTATAGAAATAATTTATATGTGAATGCAGAAATGGGAATAATAGAATGGCAGTAGTAAATTGAAGTAGACAGTTTAGTAATCAACGGGAATGTCTGCGATTGAATAGCTGTGGTTGATTGTCTAAATATTCCTATGCAGACAGAAGTTGCTAGTTGCTTAGCTGTTTATAGCTACCAAAATAGTTGTCAACTAATATAAAACATCTGCCTTGATATAAATTAAATAATTTAAAAATATCTAATAATAAAAAATAAAAAAAAATAAAAAATAATAATAATAATAATTCTATTAATATATAATTTTTTATTATTTTATTTTATTAATATATTTTAAAAATTGTTTATATTTTTATTTGAGTTTTTTATTTAACAAAAATCATAAAAAATTTTTAATAATAATATTATATTTTACTATTATATTAAATTTTTTAATGATTTTTTTACTCAAATTAAATAATATTTATAATAATAATGGTAAATATACATATATAATAATAATAAAGTTTATTTATATATATATTTTTTTTATTGATTATTATTATTATTATATTTTATTTTACTAATATATTAAAAGCAAATTTATATGTTTTTTACTCATTTTTTTTTTTTTTTTAATTTTTATTTAATTATTTATTTTTCAAAATTTTTTTATATTGTTAATATATTAAAATTTGTTGTTGATTTTTTTACGCGAATTTCTCTAGCCTCTAGGCTGTGTCCTCTCATTCACAATGCAAGCAGCGCTACACCGACTGCCTACATAATTTACTTGCCTAACATAAACTCTCGCACATATTTAATTAACCTGCCCAGAGCGTCGCTTCAGGCCCATAACAGAATATGGAGTGAGTGCCTGTCCCCAGTGCTAGCCAAGAACGAAGAAAACAAAATCTGGAGAATATGCTGTCAAATTTTGAATAGCAAATGCAGAGGAGCTCATAATTTAGAGCTTGTAAAATGCTTGGAATTAATTTATGAGTGTTTCTCATTTGTGGAATGTTTTGCTTTAAGCATTAAACAATTGGAATGTAGCTCCCTCCCTCTCCCTCTCTCTCTCTCTCATTCTCTTAGTTCTCTTTTACCTTTACAATTACTGATTAAGGTATGCAAAAACAAATGTTTCGCTGCTGTCTGTTTGAGTAAAAATAAATTAAATTTAATGTTCGCACTGGCGCCGACAAAAACCACTTTGTAGCTGTCTGCAATGTTAATTGCGGGCGCAGCTCCCACACCAACCCCCCTCCCCGCGTACCCCTCTGTTGGCTTTGTTTGACTCACCTGCACAGTCTTTTTCCTCCCCTTGATTACATCGGGATCATTTGTAATGTGCGCCTCGATTAGCAGACGCAGCTTGTCGGTGACTTTGTTCTTGAATTTACTTAAATATGCCTCGTGGTCCTCGTTGTCCGGATCGATGGCCTCGCTGCTGGCGTTACCAGGCACACTACAACAACAACCACAATAATTATGTTTATGATAATGATAATTGTGATAATAGCCATAAGTATTATGTGTCGCCGATTAGATTAATGAGCCCCCTGATGCCTGATTTCTTGGCCACTTACACTAGAGTCGTGTGATTATCCGTTGATAGGTTCATGGTCAGCTCATCCTTGATTTTACGCAATCGCTCGCCCGCCTCCACATCCCGGCCGCTGCACTGGGCAGCACGTTCCCGGAACACGGCCAATATCTTCTCGCTCGAGTGGGCTGTGTGTGTGTGCGTGTGTGTGTGCATGTGGGACATTTGATTATTTATATGTATTTCTTGTTAACTGTTTCCGTTCACATTTACCCATTGCCTGCTGCACTTCCTGTTCGATTTGAGTGCGGCGCAGCAGCTGCACACGCCGCAGCAGATCTGCCTTTGTTGTTGCCGCCAGATGCTGCAGAGATCTGTCCAGCACTTGTCGCAGCTGTCGTGATTCGGCCAGCCACTCATCTGCGGTCAACGAGCTGTAAATTATGCAGACAGAGACAGATATATTTATATGGAAACAGAGGCAGACATTGATGTGCACTCGGGAAATAACAGGAAAATGCTGAGAAAGATATGTCCTGCTCTTATTATATGTGATATATAGGGTATATTCGTTCTGTATGTTGCTTTTAGTTATAGAACTGCATATGTGCTGAACCTGCAAGACACAGTGAGTCGATATAGTCTATTTCCCAACTTTAGCTCTGCCTCTTAAACCTCTTCTTTCCTTCCTTTCTTTTGCTTTTCTCATCAATTTGAATTGATGATTTTGGGAATGATAACTCATAGACTTAATATAATAATAATGATAATGGTAATTAAGCTACGGACAACCACGATAATTAACAAATTTGTATTTAAGATAATGATAATTAACAAAAAAGAATAGGATCATCATAAGACAATAATAATCGAGCTAATGATGATGCAATACAGTTTTAACTAGGAAAAAAAGATTTTAAATAACAGCACTTATGTAGAGTATCTCTTAGTCAGCACTCCCTAAAAGAACGTATTTTAATCAAATATCTCAATTTTTCCCAATTCTTAGTTCTAGTTTGAAGGGCCATTCAAGAGTCGTGGGCCAACACAGCTGTTAGCCTTAATTGCCATATTTCTCCTTGCCAAAGGCTTCATTTCCTGCTTCATTTAAAAGTTGTTCGCTCTCTTTCGTGACTTGGCTTAATTTATTCCGAAAGTCCACATTATATATTCAGCTAATCCCTTTTTGGATTTGATTGAATTGTCAATGCGAAGTTCTTTAATAATTTTGGATGTCAATATGTCACAGCACGATATATTTTATTCAATCCAAATCTTAAGTGTTTCCATTTCATAAAGTCTTAATCAAAAGCCAATCGTAAGATTTGAGCTAATAAATGTCAAGCGTGTCAATAGTAAATTGAGTTTCATTCTTTTAAGCAACCATTTTAAGTTTTACAGACGGTTACACTCACTAAAGAATATATATATATATACATCTGTATGTGTGTGTGTCTGTTTGTATCGAACAGCTTGTCACGCTTTGTTGTGAGTGGCAATAAATGGTAAAGAACTAAGAATTTCATTAAGCACAATCATCGCCATCAGCATTCGAGCGACATGAGCGCAAATGAAAAGCCTTGAGCAGGATAAAGGATATGTGATATAAACGTGCCGCTGTCAAAGTGAGTGCCTCGCAGTGTGCTAAACATTTAGTTGCATATCCGCCGGCTAAGTGGAAGCTTAAGCACGTTGACTGAGAAGCAAAAGCAAACGAATTGACAACAAAAATGGTTTTCAACAGCAAATGGGAAACACTTAAGAAGACAGCAGTAAATGTGGACTGTAGCTAACAGCAGCTGCGAGTCAATAGAATGCTGACTAACAGTGCTGCGTTGATATTCTTTTGAGCTGAGAAGCTACCGTTAACAGATCCTGTTAACTAACCATCGTGCTTCTGATGTGTGTGCTAGCGGCTGGAGCTAACAGACTCTGTTAGTCAGTGAACTAACTACACACAGCAGATCTATATTACACTGTATAAATATGTCAGCTCTGCATTAAATATGCACTTTTTGTTATGTTTTCAAGACTCAAAGCAAATCGCAATCGGAAATTAAATATACCGAATTTGTGTTGCAATTAACAAAACTTGAGGTCAACATGGAAAGTAATTAATGTACTCATTAAACAGCCTGCAAAAGCTATAAGGTTTAACAGACTTATGTTAGCTTACAGTGCTCTTGTGAGCAGCGCTCTTACAACTGCAGCAGAGTGTTATAGCAGACAGCTTTCGGTTGAGTGCTTTTTATTGCTATTAAATAAAGCCATTTGGCTTTCCGGCTAATTTGTGATTTAGCAATTCTAAATTAACCTATAAATAATAAATCTGTTTTTAATCATAAACAGCCAAATCGCAGCTGTTATTTCCAAATAAATCCCATTATTATTATTTTAGCATATTTTTAGTACGCAAATTTTCACTCTAATATAAATAAATTGCAATTTAATACCCTAGAAGTACAATGCTGAGCCATGGCAAACGGTAAAACATTTATAAATAGAAAAATGTATTTTTCCCCTTTAATTCGTAGAATTTGCATGCAATTGCTTTGTAGTTGCTTGGCAATTGGCTAATGCAGCTAGCTGTTGACATTTAGCATAATTGGAAGTCATATAACGTGCGCCACGCCCACAAAAAAGGCGCAGCCCTTGTTAGCTTACGAAATTGTGTAAACATTTGCGTGCACTGTGTAAGCAGCTGCAATTGAGTTGGCTAACAAGAGCTCAAGGCAATTTACAGTAGTCGTACGACTTACCAATAGTCCCGTTTGAGTACGTGCTGCTGCTTGGGTTTGCTGGCAACTGTATACCAGCGCGCCAACAACTCTTTGTCTGGCGCTGTCACCTGCTCCGCGGCCAGCAGCGCTGCGTAGATGTCTGCGTCGATGTGCGTGGGCAGCGGCGGGCGCCCAATGCCGTCGCCAATCAGGGCCAAGAAGAAAACGCTTTTCGAGTGGGCATGGCAAGTGTCGATCTCGTGCAGATAGTCGGCCAGCATATACGGATCACGGTCCAGCTGTGTCACCTCCAGGGCGCCGGTGCCAAAGTGCATGTCCACGATTTCCAGCTGCATGAAGTAGAAAAACTCTTGAGCAATGTTAAATGTGAAAGGCAGGAAGTTAACAGAGCTACGGCGATTGCTGTTAAGATTCTAGTGAAATTCTGCTATGATAATTATTCTTTCTGTTAAATACATTTGCTGTACACTTTACATTATGTTAACCCACCTCGATTTGACGATCGTCGTAGAGGGTTTGCAGTTCGGGTCCGACCAGCTCGAGCAGCATGCGTCGCTCCTGATAGAATTCCTGCTTCAGGCTGGCGACGTAGATTTTGATGAGCAGCGGCTTGGGTAGGCGTGTCTGGGCGGTGGTGACGCCTCGCAGCGCATTGAGTACGCTCTCATCGATGGGCGCTGCCATTTTGGCTGGACAAATGCTTCAAGCCAACACGACGGGGCAACGAAAACAAAAAACAAACAGTTTGTTGACAACTCTCTCTCTCTCTCTATCTATCTATCTCCCTCTTTAGCCTTATTTATGGTTTATAGGCGTGTGTGCGAGAAATAGCTCGATGTGCGTATGTGTGTGTGCATATGTCTGTTGCCCTGTTTATTTAACTTGGCCAAAATCAAGTGGCAACGGCGTCGTCGTTGTTGTTGTTGTTGCCCTCGCGGCAGCTAACAGCAGCGCAAAGCTTTGGCACATGTTCAACATCAATTCGCATGCATGCTGTATCTATAGCTGCACATTTGTATCTGTATATATTTATATCTATATAGTATATGTGTGTGTGTGGTAGATGGCACAGGAACTGTTTGTTTGCATTGCCTGCCAGCAGCTTGCCGCCAGCATTTGCCCCGTGTGCATCGCGATCCGCGTGGCAAAGTTTGAACCCTTTTTACGTCCTCCTCGTTCTCCTCGTCCTGCTTGTCGTTGCCTGCGAGACACAAATTGAAAAGCGTAAATGTATTTATGGCATTGGCGAAAATTTATGTAAAAAATAAGGGAAGCGCACAAAAATGTTCAGCAAATAAATAGAAAAGTTTTCACAAAGTTTTTTTTGGTGCGAATCGCTGTTTTATGATCAGCGAGCTGACACGAGCTGTGGCATGTGTTAACAGTTCACTGCATTTCTCGTAGATTGAGCCAAATTCAAACTAAAAACTAAAAACTTGTTTGCCAAACTGCTCCAACAGCAAGCAACAACAAGCAACAACAAAATCAACTTAAATCGCATTGCGCAAATCATTCGACAATAATTTGTCGCACACCATTTATATACTCTAAAGCTCTAAAGTTCTTTCGGAACTAGGTCAAATGAAAAACTAATTGAGTAAATGAAATTCAATCACATAATTTACGAAAATCCATTTAGATTAGTTGGCTTTTAGCTTCAATTTGAGTTTAGCTTAATGGCTTAATTTTTAGCTGGCAAAGTAGTTTATAAGTAAATTAACATGTTTAGCTTTCAGAAAAGTTGGCTTATTTTAAATTTTTAGTATGCGTTAACAGAAGGCAGTTAAGCAGTAAAGTTCTGCCTCTATTGATTCACGCTTGAGTGAGTCTTTAAACAGTGAAACAGCTCTGCCCTCTGTTAAGTAGGCAGATCTGCCTCTACTGAGTACTTCTCTGCCTCTGTTAAGTAGGCAGATCTGCCTCTGTTAAGCAAGCTGCTCTATACCTGTTAAGTAGACAGATCTGAATCTACTGAGTAGGCTTCTCTGCTTTGCTCTGTTAAATAGACAAATGTGCCCATGTTCAGCAAGCACTTCTGGCCTTTGTTAAGCAGGCAGCACTTCCCTCTGTTAAGCAGGCACCACTTCCCTCTGTTAAGCAGGCAGCTCTGTATATGTTAAGCAGACAGATCTGCCTGCATTGAGTCGGCTTCTCTGCTTCTGTTAAATACACAGATCTGCCCCTGTTAAGCAAGCAGCTCTATACCTGTTAAGTAGACAGATCTGAATCTACTGAGTAGGCTTCTCTGCTTCTGTTAAATAGACAAATTGTGCCTCTGTTACGCAGGCAGTTCCGCCCACTGTTAAGCAGGCCAATTTTCTGTTAACTGCCCAGCCTTTCTATGTATATCAAATTTATTATTATTCTCTCGCAGCACACCCACTCACACACACACACATACTCGCACATACATATACTCAGAGAAAAAATGCGAAATAAATTATGAATATAGCTGCAATTAATTCATTAATCAAACATAAGAGCTCTTTGTATCGACCACACATTAATTTGTATTTTAATTAGCGCAGGTAAATACAAAAGTTAAAGTATATCAATTAAAAAAACATTTCACTTTTTTACAAAGCAATGTGTTGTGTTGTTTATTCAACCTTCCGCTAAATGAAATGTTAATAAATTTGTAGATTTTCAAAGGCGTCTGCAATAAATGAAATCAGTATAGTTCTTATGTGTTGTTCGTAGCTCAACGCGTTTGGGGCTTTAATGGAGTGAGCAGGACAGAGAGCAGGACATGGGCATATGGGCTTTGGGCCAGGGCTTAAAGCACAGCGAGTCAACGGTCTAATGAAGACTCGATGGCGAGTTCTTTGGCTAACAAAATCGATTGCAATTAATTCCGCTTCAATGAGTTGGCTAAATTGCTCGTTTGAGTATTGGCCAGGACGCAGCTAAACAGAAGCCAAGCTCAAAGGCTGCCACAGAGATGTGTACATAAATAAATAAAAAAAAATTATATGTATGTATGTGTGTAGATATCTTAATCAAAGGTGCGAAGGCAACGCGTACTGCAATTACCAAAGCGGCCTTGCAATGACAGCACACTTCACTAAGCAACCCAAACCCAGAACCAATGAAAACCCGAATCCCCGGAAAATCCCCATCCCAATCCCCAATCCCTCCTCTTAAGTCAATAAATATTTAATGGTCAAACAAATTGCGTCTAATGAGCGCTGGCTGTGAATGTAGGCAGCTGCTTTCATTTTCCAAATCAGATTTTTATACTGACTGACAAAAGTAAACGCACACCCACACACACACACAGGCAGATAGATGGGGCTAACTGAGCTATTGCAATGGACAATTACCTAGGCCATAATGAAAGCGATCCGCATGCCGATTAACCCCATTATTAGTCAATTTCCTGCACACAGCGAACACTCGGCTCCATCAGCTGGCGCAGGCACAGACGACAGTGGGTGCTGGAAATTAATGTCCACACTAGCTCTAACATATGGCCCAAGGCAAACACACACAGAGAGAAGAGAGAGAGAGAGGGAGAGAGAGAGAAAGTGCCACTGTCCTTATCATTGAGCAGCCTGGCCACTGGCCGGTGTCAAATGACTTCCATTAGGCGGGGCCAAGCATTTAGAACGCCCGCCCCCCGACCGACTATCTATTATCTGTGGGCGTGACAGTGAGTTGGCATATTTAAGCGTTGCTTAAATTTCATATATTTGTTATTAAATATTTACCAAGCAGCCAACGCAGCCTTGCAACAGTCACAAGCACAAGCTTTGAGCCGTGTTGCATCGACCCCATTCGGCCAACAGCCTTGCCCTCAATGTGGCCAACAAGCCTAAGGCGGCAGCATAATTGAGGTCACAATTTGTTGCATTAAACACGGGCTATGGCACTATTGTGCACTACAATTCTCCGATAGTTATTAAGTGCTTTACGCTGGACTGCTGCCCTGGAATTGCAGAGGCACGTGCCGGAGCTTACGCAAAGTTTGTAAGATCTTTGAGAGGTGGCTAACGGAATTGTAAATTGAATACCGTAAGCATATATTTTAGCTATATCATTTTTATGATCTTGGGCGAAGAAGTTTTATTAATTTGGTAATTAATAATAATGACATATAAGTCTTTTATATTAAATAGAACAGATCTTATAGCATTTTTCACTTTATTATACTTATTATGGTAGGCAACTATAGCTATTTCCAGGAGCATACGAGAAGCTGATAGGAAGGTATAATTTTGCAATAAGCAATATTTGTCGTCTTATTGGTCAAGTAATATAATGGCAGAGTTTAGTCGATCTAGTCATATGCATCTCTATATTTATTCTCCCCTAGGTTCTTTAGTCCATCTGTCCTTTCCCACGTTCGTCTATTCGTCTCTACGTCTATCCGTCTATCCCTCAGTTCATTCGTCCGTGCGTCCCCCTCTGTCGATCCGTTTATCTATCCATCCGCCCATCTTTCTATCTAGCCGTCCATCTGTCTGTTTATCCGGCCATCAGTCCGTGTGGTCATACGTTCGTCCATAAATTTATCCAGCCCGCCGTCTATCCGTCCGTCCACTCGTTCCTCCATTCGTCTGTCTATCCTTCCATTCATTCATCCGTCCCTTCATCCATTCGTCTGGCTATACATCCATCCGTCCGTTCGTCTTTATACACTCATCAATCTCATGAACCATAAAAGCAAGAAACTTTAAATTTTAAATATATATTTATACCTATACCATGCATATATACCTATACCACTCAGTTTATTTGTTAGCTCATCTCATAACTGATAATAATCGATCATTTTGATTTCATTTTTCCAGCGATAGTTAAATACCATAAAACCCGAATATATGAATTTTATTATGTGGCTTCGTGAGATCGATAAACATTTTTTTATAATTTATTTATATATTATTTATAGTTTTGTTTACCTGGACTACAAAGAGCTATATGAAGTGCATGGAGTATGAGTGTCTGTACTGTTTATCATGAATGTATTACTCTATTAATTCTCTATTCATTAAATTATAATTTCTTCTACCTTAGCATGTTTTTTTTTTTCAATAATTATACAGCATTATGTATACGCTTAAATAAAAGTATTAAATTGTCTTAAGCATCCCTAAGAAATCAAAACATTTATTTCTCGCTTCTCTTCCTTCATTTATGCTCCTTGAGCAACAAACTTTAATTTTAAATCTTAATTTCTATCGTATTAGCCGAGCGACCCAAATCTCTGCTCTTAAATAACCTTAAAATCTTAGGAGTGAATCTATAATATATAACCTTTAAGGATATACTCGTATAATATACAATATATTAACAGTTCCTTGCTTTAATAATGCAACCCAATTCAGGCCCTTTTTAGCAAAAAAAAAATCTATTAAATGAAAAAGAGCTGATTAAGCGCACATAAAACTAAATACAGCTCTTAAAATGCCACATTTAAGGCTTTCATTATGTCTGTGTGTCTATGTGTGTGTGCGTGTGTGTGCCTCTCTCTGTGTCTGTATTGGTGTTGCTTTAAGCGTTGCTCTGATTGGCAAAAGTTACACAGTCATAACTTTTGGGGCCCCCGGGCGAGTCGGAGAATCGGTCACAGCTACAGAGCTTAAATCAGGCAAAAGCCAAGTGATTTAGGCTTCTTTCTTCATATTGTATAACCAAGCGAAAAGGCCATAGGATGTGGGGGGCGTGGCATGGTTGGAGAGAAGGAGGAGCAACCGAAAATAAAATATTGGTTGTGACGCGCTACGCATAAATAAATTAATGGTAATAAGTCAAAGGCCGCAACAGGCTGGCAACAATGAAGCGAGAGACGTGGAGCAGGTGGTGCGAGTGGTGCGAGTGGTGCGAGTGGTGCGGCAAAACACAAACATACACAAAGAACAAGACGAGCCCAAATGGCAAACAGCAAGCAGACGGAAAAAAAAGACGGTGCCGGTTGGGCGGTAGGCAGCGGGGCGTGGTTGTGCTAAGTAATGGTCGAAAGCGAAAAAGAACGCAAATTCAGCAAATAAACAATGTGGCAAACATTTTAGACGCGCTGGCAAACAACAACAACAACAACAAGTGGAACGTGGAACATGCAACGTATGTGCCCGGCACTCTCATTCCGATTGCGTGGCATTAATATTAAATGCGTCGCAGCGCACGTGTGTGTGCGTGTCTGTGTTACACACACTAGCAGACTCGCACACACACACACATATGTACTCACACGCACAC